TCAAGTGTCTTAATAACTCCTCAGCTAACTCATTATCACTTTTGCCAGATTATCTTGGTCAAAGAAGTCATTGAATTAATTCATAGTGTGAACTACTATCCTACCACTGGATGGAAAAATCTGCAAAGTCCCTTTTTAGTGTATGTAGACTAATAGAAAATCTGGAGACATTTTTATAACCGGTATACTAAAATAGTTGAGTCTTAGAATTTTTTCTTTATTGCCCGTGGCTGTACTACCTAAAATGAGCGGGAATGGAGGACTAACTTGAACAGCAACTGACTTAGCGTTTGCCACAAAAGTCTTTTGAAAATAGTATTTCCAAACGTTTAGACAGTTTCTCACATAGCAGATCCCAGATACTTTTGTGAGTGAAACATTGCACGCTGCGTTAGATTCAGTGAAACTGGAAATTTTTGCGCAAGCAGAGAAATGGATCTACTCAATATCTGTGTTACATACAAAAGTATGATTAACAAGCATCTAGATTCCTCTAGATTTGAACATCATCCAAACTTTTCTCCTCTGTCTACTCTTGACACAACACCAGATATTTTGAAACAAACTCCTCTTTATTTATTATCTATTCATTTGTGTATCTTGTCAATAATATCTGTCTAATAAAATCCAGCAAGGGGGATTTTCTTAGTTTTCTGTCATTTAAAAGAGAAGAGTGGCATGTATGGAACAAGCTTAGTTACTATTAGGATTATGTATGTACCCAACAGCTGATATTCAGCTTCCATGTGGATTATGGTTATTTTTTACTGAGTAGTGTCATAATGTAGGCAGCAACAGACAGTGCATTAAGGAATATCAAAAGTGATCAACTGTTTTATAGGAATGTTTTGATATAAATAGTACAAAAAGAAGAAAAAATACATAAGATTATTATAAAGAATGTTCAAATTTGCTTTAAAGTTGATTTTGGAGAGAATAAAATATAGGGCAGATTAGAGTATATAATGCCTAGAAGAAATACAATCATCTTAAAAAGAAGCAGGACACTTAAAAGAAGGGAATAGGATGATAGAGATGTGTGAAAATCTACAGATAGTTTTATAAAAAGAAGAACCATATAGAAGGATAAACTTGAAACATTTTTAGTCAAATGAGTGCACCTTGAGACCATAATGTTACGTGAAACAAAACAATGAATCTTAAATATATTCTTTTTTTTATGTGAGAAACCCAAAATACAAAAAAGGGCAAAATAAAAGGTAGCTAACATAAACATGGTGATGAGTCTTTTGCAAAAGGAAAAAGGATTTTGAAATGGAAGGGAAAAGGGTAAAGGGGAAGGGGACACAAAATCAATTTTAATATGTTTGTACATGTACCAACTTCCCACAAAACTGCAATAATGTACATCCACTTTTGGATGAGTGTAATTGAGAATGAAGAGAAGTTTAAGTACGGTGCATATGGACAGTTTGAAATGGACTTCTTTAGAGACAAAAAAAGTGAACACCAGGGACCAGTTAAATCAGCGCAGCTTGCAGTGGATCTTGAGAGCTCATTATGCAAAAGACTCATCAATAGTACTGAGCAGGCTCCCAAACAAGAAGTCAGATTGAAACAGTTTTACACAATAATTTAAAAATGTTCTGTTTAAGCAAATTTACCCGCAATACTCTGTTATCATCCAGTGCCTGCATAAAGTATCCCAATACTTTTCAATTCCTAGTGCTTTATGATCAATTTCATTAGTTATCTTTTTTTCTTATATTGCCTGAAGGCTCCAGTGTGCAAATAATTCTCAGTTCTTTGAAAGTGCATTAAGTCTTTGAGGTTTAATGCTCAAGGGTAACATTCAGTCTCTCAGAGTAGTAATTTACTAAATAGTAGGGTGGGATGCTATCTCCGTTATCCAAGGATGTGAACTGGAGCAAAGAATTAAGGGACTCCTTCATATTAAAAAGCTTATTACTGAGCTGTAGCAGCATAACCAATGAACACAGGGCAAGAGTACTACATAAAAAAGAAATGTAGGCTTCCCCTTGATAATATATTATTTCCAATTGGCTAATAAAAGGAAAATGGCATATAAAAAGCATGTAATTTTGCTAATTAGATCACCATGATCTCTGCAGTCTTTTCGAAAAGTATTCAATACTTTGGGCTATTTAAATCCATTTATCCATTTTTGAAAGGAACTAAATTGAAGACATACATTCTATAGTGGATATAGTTCTCTTTTTATCTAAGAAAAAGGATTTCTTTCATACTTACCAAATATCTTGTTTTCAAACAACAGGGATTCATTTTATATCAGTTCAAGCTGTCCTGTCTGCCAAAATGATCCATGTTCAATGACTTTTAAAATGACTAGAACAACTCAGAACAATTGTTCTCACCACCCAAGCTTTTATAAATGCAGAGAAATTGTTTTAATATTTTCAAAAGCATCCATTAAGATAACTCCATTTAAAGCACTAAGTGGTTTAATGGCATTTTCTGCGCTATTCAAAATATCCTAACCATGAAAAAAAATCAGCTAATCTGTACAAGTCCATTAATTTCAAAAGATAAGCCCAGCATATAGAAGTCTACGGTGACAATTAGGAAATTTTTGAGTAATTAGAAAACTTCTGAGTAGTTAGTATGCTTATCTTTTTAATTTAAATGAAAATGAATACCACTATTTTTCACTCTAAGTATTTAACTGAAAAAAATTCTTTGGAGTAAGTATAGTACATAATCCATTATTGAACTGTATCAAATTGCAGCATAGATGGAATATACACTTTGTGCACAAACAATGCTTCTGTGAAAACATTTCAATTAAATTACTATGAAGTGCTAAATGAAACATATACTTGACAGATTTGTATGAAAGGGAATGTTAGCTGAGAAATCATTTCCATCAGGCATGTTAAAATCAAGTCTAGTTATTGACATACAAGTTCTACAGATTTTTTTCTATTGACATCAAAACAGGGCAATACTATAAGTAACAAAACTCGATAACTATACTGAGATAATATATTGGACTCAGAGGAAATTAACACCTGACTTCCCTTTGGCTTTATCTTTCTAGGAATAGAATATCTCCCAGAATTTATTTGAAGAATATACAATATTAGCTACCAGCCTTCATTTATTTCTCCCAAAGGTATCATTTCCCTTATATCAAACAATACTAATAACCAATTCTGTTTAAACATAAACTGCAAACCAGTTTTTTTAAAAAGAATTATTATTTTGAAGGTAGTAAAATACAACAGAACAAAGCCAATTGAGATAGTGTAGTGAAGTTGGTACAGAACGTCATAGCAGGTTAACAGTAATAGGTACTGTAGTATATTTTGGTATCTTCACAATAGTTGTTCTTTCAATCAGGTATAGCAAATCAAATGAAATACAGAGCATTATAGAACTTATCAAAACAGAATATTGAAATTGAGCAATACCATTAATCAGAAAAAAGCAAAATAGTGATAAAAATACTTGCCTTCAAAAGATGGTAGAAGGAAATCCTCCCCATTTGCTATACTGTATGTGGTCAACCTCCCAAGAGATGCTCAGATCTTTGGCTTCCATTTGCTAAGGGGGGTGGTACAGAGATGGGATGTTTGATTCTCAGCCTTCGCGCAGATAGACTCATGGCCGCTTACCAGGAAGGTGAGCTGGTTGCTTGGTTTCCCAGTGGCCCAAGTTCCAACATGGCATCTATCTTAGAAAACGCTGGTGATTCTCGCACTGGGATGCCTGCAGCTTGCCGGGCCACAGCCACTTACCAGGGAGGTGACCTGTAAACCAGCTTTTGAATAGAATTATAATTATAGCACAATATCCAAATATATACATTTATATTTATCTCCCCAAAATCATACTTCCCCAATTTCTACTTTCAGAACATTTGAAAATGAATACTCTAAATCTTACAAGGAAAAATTATATGTACAGCTACTTCTTTATCATACAAAAAGGCAATAGAAACATATTTGGGATTTAAAGTATTACTAGTGTGTGCTCTCCTGTGCTAGTTTAAAAGAAAACAAAAAAAGGCAATTTCAACGAATAATTTTCACAAAGCAACGCCATGAGCCATTTTCAGCTTTTACATTTGCATTTTTATTTATATTATTATACCTTACATAATGCCAAAAGAGTAAAACTTTATTAACATAGTGCTTTCCATTTTCCTAACTGTATGAGACTAAATATACTAACTTTTGTGCAAGAGAGTTGACCAAAGGGAAACATAAAGGTACAATACCGAAAATAAGATCTTTAGAGGTGGAGAAAATAGTTTCAACATTAAAGTTGGGCTCTAATTTGATAAGAACAGTAAAGCCATTTTCTCCTTTCCATTCTTTTGGACTAGCAGGTAGCATGGGAATAATGAAGCATTATGGGTGCAAAAAGTTTACTCAGTTAGACATATACACAATCCAGAGTAAAGCACATATTCTAATATTATAGTTCTTTCAGGGTTTTTTCTCTTGAAAACATAATGAAATGGTGTTACAGGAGCATGTAAACTGCTATAGTTGCAGAAATACATAGTGGCCAAGAAACTACATATTAAACACAAACATTACTGATTGACTACAAAAAATATAGTGAGCAGAGATGTGAAAGTGGTGGCTGCTTGCACAAAAAGTGCTCTTGTCTTTCACAGTGGGATACCTGCTCTCATCTAGGATAAGGTTCAATGGTATACTTTTACAAAAAGAAAATGAGATTAAGGGATTACACAGGTGCCAGTGTGCTGTTTGTTGATACTATACTTCAGTTTTCCAGTTAACACTATTGGACTAAATCATAGGTACATTGGTTCTCTCTGCATTATTCTTTATAAATTCATATAAATCTACAATTAAAAAATAATGTTTTAAGTAAAAAATGTAAGTTTTTTCCAATAAAGGGAGTTTGATATGTCCTACATTTCACTACCATGGACTTGAGAATCTTCTGCTTTATGAAGCATAAAACCCTCAGGTTAAAAAATAGCTAAGAGTCTAAAGTCCATGCCTGTTTGAGGTATACGAGGAGAAGTAGATTGGTAAAAACTTCTTTTGAAGTATTTTTACTCACAGTTCCCAGGAGAAGGTGGCATGTGGCAGCACATGGGAGCATGCAGAGAACTCATCTCATGAGGGACCACCTAGGTTGGTCAGAAGGAATCCACAGAGTGCAGACGTCTGATTTCTATAGGAGATAATGAGAGGCAAGGTAAGTGAGCTCAAGACTCGCTTGGAATAATTTTTATAGCTCTCTAGTTATCTGGTACTTGATCCTGTGGCAATATAAAGGCAAGTGGAAAATGGTTCAATGAATTCCATAAAAGTGGTAGTGTGTTGTGTCTGGACTTATTTTATATTTGAAATGAAAACTCGACCTAAGGAGAGAGAGGAAAAGAGGTGGAAAGAGATCAAGAAGAGATGAGCCATACGTGTTACCCGTTTTCCAAAATGAGGGATATCCAACATATGCATGTCAGACAGCTTCTGAAACACAGAAGGTGCAGAAGCAAGAAACATGGTTAATACAACATTTAAGCATAGAAGTGTAAGATTTCCTGGAAGTATAACTAATACAGGCAGCCAGCATGTACCAAGCATATTGGAGGCAATAGTTTTTTAACATGAACTGAAAATTTATGTATTTCACATGCAGATGTGGAATGTTGGGAGATGAATAGTTACATAAAGTTCAACTGAATACATTAACTTATGTGAATATGTCCAAGAAATTACTTTTGCATATTAAAAATAGGTGGAATATTTTTATCACACCATTTGTGTATTGGTATTCTTTTTAAAGACCTAAATATAGGAAAATTATATAAATTTAATAAGGCCTAAAATTAGGAAATTTAATAAGCCTAAAAGTTAATACAAACTGTAAAATTTGAAAGAGCATAGAAATTTAATAAGCCTAAAAGTTAATACAAACTGTAAAAGTTGAAAGAGTATAGAACGTATGGCAAGGCAAAAGCTTGAGTTGCATAAGTCATTAACGCTGCCCAAATTCAAAAGCTTCATTCTTTTAGGAACTTCTTTGTAAGTCTTTTGGTCATTTTTCCTTACACTATTCAAATTTTTCAACACACTGTTGAATGGATTTATTTTCATCTCCTTCCAAACTCACACAAAATTTCACCAGTGTCAGAAGCTCTTCCTTCCCCCTGAGTCAGTTCACCAAAACCCATTCAGTTGGCCTTGTTGAGGTGGAGAAAAGTCTTTTCTCCCCAAACACAAGTATGTTTTCCTCCCTAAGTGTTATGGACTATTCCCTATTTGCCTGATGGACTTTCAGATTTCACGGTCTAATCTCTACTTCAGCCAAATATATTGTTATGGTTTGTATTTAGATGTCCTCCTAAAGTCTCAGATGCTCATAGACAGGGCTTTGGGGAAATGATTGGAACATTGGTGTGTGATCCCTATCATCTATCTCAATGATGAAACAGAGTTAAAAGTGATTTGAGAGTTGAATCCTAGTTGGAGAATATAAAGGACAGGGTATGTGGCCTGGAAGAATCTATCTCCCTCTCTCCTGCCTTGATAATCTCTCTCTCTCTCTCTCTCTCTCTCTCTCTCTCTCTCTCTCTCTCTCTCTCTCTCTCTCTCTCTTTGAATATGCCCAATGTCATGAGTCCGTCTTCCTCTGCCACGGTTTTGCCATGCTGCCCTACCTTGGAGCCAGCAGAGACTAGGACAAAGCCTCTACAAACTGAACCAAAGTAAATCTCTCTGTAGTTTGTTGGTTTGGGGTACTGTAGCTCAGTAATGATTAAAGTAGCTAAGACACGTATTATGCAGAACTATGCATTATTATGGGGATAAAAGATATTTATTATTTTACTAAAAAAAACCTGTTTTTGTACTCTTTTTTCTCATTCCTTGGTTTTTGTGTGTCTGGGATATATCACATAGTTATATTGTTAGATTCTAACTTTCCATTATGTTGCCTACCTTAGACAAAGTGTGTAGCATCATAATTCTTGGTCAGCATAGGAGGAATCAAAATATTAATATGTTTAAGTTATAGAATTTTTGTGAAGACTAAAAGATATTGTCATATAACAGTATCTGACAACTATTAAACACAAGAAATTCAGTTACTGTAGTGTTTGGTTATCCTGTTTTTATTTCATATATTCTGTGGTATCAGTGATGTAAAATTGAAGTCAACAACACTAAAAAATCAACAAGCATTAAAAAAGATACATGATATGCTTATGTTTACCTAGGACAATTACTATTGGCTTAGTTGCTTCAAATGATTATTTACACATATTTTTTAAAGAAAGTTAACAAAATTTTCTTACCACAGTCCACTGTGTGTCATTCAGAATAATTGCAAATATCATGCACACATTTCTATTTATTCAAGGCTAAAATAGCATTTCCACAAAGAGTTCAGTCTCTTTATGAAATTCTGATATTTTTTCAGATCATAGAGTACAGCAAGGTCCCAATAACTTTCTTTGCATATGAATAAATGACTCCAGTAATTAATAAATAGTAAGAATAAGAAAATATAATGAGGCAATGGGTATATTAGTTAGTTCAAGAGGTGATTACTTCACATTGTATCCCTATGTCAACAGATCTAATTTGATCTTGACTTTAAGTACACAAAATTCTATACTTATTCATATCACATTAAAACTGACAAAATTAAAAGAAATGAAACCAACATTTGACAACAATCATTACAATAATGTACCCCACTAGAATCATCAATGACTGCTAACACTGATGAGCAAAAGTTTGAGGATAATTAGATGGTATCATAATCTTAGTATGTTTCTGAATATATGTCTTCATTAATATTTATAAATACATTAGCAAGTATATATTAATAAACAAATGTTCTTACAATTACCATTGCAGACTCTAATGGCTGACAGATATCATCTTCACAAACTTGTAATATTTTAAATAAATAAACCCTAATAGGAAAAATTAGTTTCGTGTTTCCTATTAAAATAACATATGGAGATGAGTACAGTATCACGAATTACACACAAATGTCTAAGTGCAGAGAAAACCTCAGAAAAATTAAAAGTATATAGTGGACTAGACTCTTCAAAAATGATAGGCTGTGAAAGTGGAGATTATTTTGAACTGAAAGAAACCAGAAGAAGACAGCTAAATGGAATCTGAAGTTCTGAAGGAGATCTAAAATTTCTAAATGACATCACTGACAATTATCAGTGAGATCTCAGTGGATTTTGTGGATTATATGGATTAAATTGGATCAATGTTTCTCTCCTGAGCTTTTGCCTGCACTTCAGTTATGTAATCCTTAGAAAATGCTCTTGTTTTGAGAATGTACCTACTAAAGTATAACTCAGTAAGAAACTTCAAATCTGCAGTTTGCATCATTTGAAAATACTAACAACTGGGTGAAAGGTATAAAGTAGACTTTTGAACAATTTTCAACACTTTTGTAATTTAAAACAAGTTAATAAAAAAGTTTAAGGGTTTTTTAAAATAATAGTAAAAGATAATTCATCAATAAGTCACTGAACCAAATAGTTTTCTGAGATTTTGTATAGCTTGATAAGACAGAACTGCTTACGGCTCAATATAGTACAATATACAATATTGTTCACACACAGAAATAAAACTAAAATGTAAGACAAAAATCCTGAAATTTTAACTAATAATTTCTTTTTTCAAGAATCATGCAAGGAGAAGCTTCACAGAGTAAGAACTGGAAGCTGGAGGCTCCCAAATTATCTAATCTTTAGCTTGTATCATGAGTTTTCTCCAGACTCTTTAACCACAGTGTGGCCCACTAGCTTATCCACCTACCACCTGGATGAATAACCCCCAGTTCTTAACAATAGGGAAGATCTCCTCTAATTTCCCTTGGTACTTTTCACATTGCTTTTCCTCCTTTTTCTCAATTTCTCATCATGATTTGATTGGCCATGGATTATACTTTTAAACTCAAGATGATCCCTCAATTATTAATCTTTTCTGGCTTGAGGTATGGAGAGCAATATATACTATAAAAGATACCATGACTGTAAGATTAACAATAAATGTAAGGCCCACTTACACATGGCAAAAGGTCAACACCATGTGTCATTTAACAGAGTGATGCAAACAGGTCTGGTCCAGAGGATTGCCAGGCCTCTATGACAATAATGGAACATAAAAACACTATTTTCCTGGAGACATGGCCACCTCAGCAGAGTCAACTTTTTTAAAGCTTAGAATACAGTTTACCCTGGTAAGAAGAGTTCTCTCAGTCACCTTCCGGTTACTTCAACAAAATACCCGACACTCTCAACTTAATAAAGGAGAGGTTATTTTGTCTCACATTTGCAGAAGTTTCGGTACCTTGCTAGCAAGCTTCAGCATAGCAATAACATGGTGGAAAGGACTGCTGCAAATGAAAGCCACTCATGCCTTGGTGGTAAGGACCAGAGGGAGATGGAGCAGCTAGAGAGGGAGATAGAAAACACTGTCCACCTCTTCAGGTCATTACCTCAATGACCTCACCTCTTCCAACTAGGCCTCCAGCTTGTAACAGCACATGCAACTACTAGTTGAACTACAAATGGGAAGTAGGATGAACTCACTAGTGAGTGAATCCACTGATGAGTGTAACCCTTTCATGAGCCAAACCCCCTTCTTTGACACACTTCTTAACTATATATGGCCATGTCACTGGCCTACTCCTGCTATCTGTCTCATAAGATTATTGACAGAATAGATCACTGAGCATCAAATAGTATAAAAATTCACCTTTGAAGCATTGATGCAGAGGCAGAAATCGCTCCTGGGGAAGCTGGTCAGCTGGGATAGTGTGAGTGATACCCCTGAATGTAACAACTAATGTTGAACATTGGAAAATCTTGGTTTAGAAGAAACAAGAGTGGAACACAGAAAGATTATTAGTCCTCAGAATTTATTATCAGCAATAAAAATAGAAATATAGTGCAATGAAAAATCAAAGAGAAAATAACTCAGATAAGAAGGAATCAGAAAAAAGAGGAATCCCTAAGGAATAGCCTTTCCCTAACTTTCAGTAAGTCTCATATAAATAGACTTAAACAATGATGATACTATGTGTCCTATATACCCAGAATTTCAAAGTTAGTGTGGCCTCAAAAACTTCAAAAATGCCATTAAAGGCCCAGAATCATTTTGACTCTTTTTTCTACAATATTCAACATTAGTTCAAAGTCTGCTTTTGCTAATTGTTGT